AATCTGGTACCACCTGTATTCTGTGCAAATAAATGTTTCTTTCTTTCTTTCTTTATATAACTGGCCAGTTCCGGCCACATAAATAGCAGCCCTCGTATAAGATACTATATACATACATTAATTAAAAGGTTTTCGTTCAAAGTAATCCGATCTCATTTGTAATGAAATCGACTAATGGCTGTCAAGTAAGTGAACCACATTTTCTGAAAACTTATTTAAATGCAAAATTATGTAACACTTTGGATATTAGACGTGTGTGGCTTCTTTAGGTCTCATTTTGTTAAGTAAGCCCTAAAATATCAATATATCATTCTCATTTGTTAGAATTTATTTCATTGTTTAGTTAATGAAAAATGCTGTTATGATTATCATACGAGTACAGTAATATAAAGCTAATATTTTTGGTTAATTAATAAATAACAATTCATAAAAATATCAAATCAGTCCATTATTCCACCAAAGTTTTACAGAAACTTTAGTTATTTCACGTGTTTCAATGTTTTCTGCATCATTCCTACATATAGTTTTTTTTAAATTTGTCATCGCAGAAAAAATACAGAAGGGACTATCAGTTAACATATGGTCGCTAATATTACCAAAATTCATGCAACTCGTATTAAAAAAAAATCAGGAAAAGGTGATCTTGCGTTTTTATTTACCTTCGTGATTAAGACAATTTGCTAACGCTAGTCGCGTTAAACATAATCATAATTGAGGAATTATTATACAACACTAGATGTTGTTTGCAAACGCGTTTGATATTGCGCGATCCGCTTGTTGGCTCAATTTCTGATAGCTAGTGTCATTAATTTAACATTTACAATATAAAATTGCTTTTTTGTTAAGTATAGCGTCCCGTCCCTACTAAAAGCTAATGTATTGGCTTGAAAATTCTGAAAAAAATTGTTTAGAATTTTTGCCAAGATTCTCGTATTTTTTTCTGATAATTACAGGTCTATTTAATATGAATTAAATTTAAATGTCTGATTCATAACACTTTGTGTACATACCTCTTACACGCTTACGTATGCTCTTACATGTCAATCATCATCAGCCTATTGCAGTCCACTGCTGGACATAGGCCTCTCCCATTGCAAGCCACTTAGATCGATTTTGGGCTTCTCGCATCCAGCTCCTGTCAGCCATCTTGCGCAAATCGTCACTCCACCTGGCCTGTGGGCGTCCACACTATGTTTGCCGAGACGCGGTCTCTACTCAAGAACTCCCAACGGTTCCCCAACGGTTGTCGCTTCTGCGGCTAATATGGCCAGCCCACTGCCGCTTCAGCTTTCTGATCCAGTAGGCTATGTCGATGACGTTGGTTCTCTGCCGGATCACCTCATTCCTGATACGATCCCTTGGAGAAACGCCGAGCATAGCCCTTTCCATAGCACGTTGAGCGACTTTGAACTTGTGGACCAGCCGTACCGTATCCACGGCTCCGTATGTCATGACGTGTAGGACGCACTCATTAAAGACTTTCGTCTCAAGGCACTGTGGGATCTACGATGAGAAGACGCGACGTAGCTTCCCAAATGCTGCCCAACGCAACTGAATTCTTCTGTTCACCTCGTCCTCGAAGTTGTTTCTACCTAACTGCAATGTCTGCCCGAGGTACACATAATTTTGAACACTTTCGAGAACGGCACTGTATACCGCAATCGGTTCCGGTAGTACATGTTCGTTGAACATGACTTTGGTTTTATCCAAGTTCATCCGTAGGCCGATGCGTACAGAAGAGTCAGCTAGGTCATTCAGCATCAGCTGTAGGTCCTGCAACGTCTCTGCCATGATGACCATGTCGTCTGCAAATCGCAAACGAGAAATGTATTCGCCATTGATATTGATGCCACGCCCTTTCCAGTGCAGCGTCTTGAACATGTCCTCCATTGCATTTGTGAACAATTTCGGGGAGTTAACGTCAGATAACATGTCATTATTTATTATATCAAAGACGAAATAAAAACAAGTTTTTACTCGGGGAAATGTGTCCTGTAATGCTGCAATCCAAAATGTTTATCGCGTGACATTGTATGCGGTTCGCAGGACATAATATATTGCTATAGGCTATACGCATATATTGCTCTGTAAAAACGATAGCAGAAGTACCCTGTTAACATTGATTTCAATTATGTACTGTACAGTATACACTGTGTAGTATACCCACATATTAGACTCGTCATCTGTCAGATAACATTATACTCATATCGAACCCGGATATCGAATAAGTATCGTAAGCTCATTATCTCGAAAACATTTACTTAATGCCTGTCACTTCATATTACAAAAAGTATAATGGTGACATTGTCATGTAGGATACAAAAACGGAGTATGTGATACGCCTCCTCCAAGTTGAATGTCCGTTTACGGTTTGAGTACCCTTGCAGGCTGTTACTTGGATTCACGCATTAATTATTGGTATTTTATAATGAACAACGATATTTCGAAAGTGTTATTGAGGTCGAATTTCACTTAACTCTCAATACTCGATAATCTGATTGTTAATGGTCCTTCAAATCGAGGTTTTTGTCCACTTTCCACTTTTCACTGTCTTATCCACTTTATCTATATAATTCGAAACATGTTACAATTTCGTTATTTATTTGAGGTTCATGTTTGAAAATTGTTTATTTGAGGTTCAGATTTGAAAGGTACGCACATAAATACATATACGTTTTCCATCCCCGAAGGGGTAGACAAAGGTGTAAGACATCCCTACTTTTTACGTAATTGGGGCAAGCCTATTGCCGAAAATCACCTTATTACAATATTCAAAAATTCAATACATTTTTTTCTTAAAATACGGATTTAGTTTTTCTATGTTATTATGATACATTTTTATAAATTATCTAGACACATACGTAATATATATCAGAAACATAGTAAAGTAAACAAATTAAAACACATAATTGTCATATAAGTTAAAAGCGACGATTGCTCACGTGTATGCAAATATGGCTATATCTTATGATACAAACACACATTTAGGTCATTACATCATACCGACAAAAATTCCAAACATTTGAACATCCTTTTTCTAATACCTCTACAATTAATTGAAGTTTTTTTCACGTGACGTGTTTACATTCTGACTAATATATTTTTATTATAAAATAGATAAGTTGAATAAAATGAATTAATCAATTTAAAATTTATCATACTTTTTTGTTCATATATAACAGGTGATGGTGGTATTCTTTAACATTTTCTCATTATGTAGTAGGTAGTATATTCAGGTAACCCAATCAAGACTTCAATGTTGAAAGTTGCATTCTACAGTTGTCGAAATCATACAATTTAGCACTTTTGATGTCTTTTATATTAAAGTGAAAAGATTATTACAACTTTAAGATAAGAACATAGCAATCGTTTTCAACTATTCATCGCTCCTTGTGATAACTAGGTACCTACATGTTTTAATAAACAAGTAATAATTAAAAAAAAACAAGAACCCGACTGCAAAAAGACAGTTTAAAACAAAAAAACACTAGTGCACACATACCGAAACAGTACGAGGTCCGACACAAACATGGCACATTTTTACGTTTCCCAAAACTTTATAAAACTAATTCATTATTCCTCATTATTCAATTTAAATATATTAGTTATATATATATTTGTAATGTCCTTTTAATGTTCTTGAATCTGAGTAAGTAAGTTTGGTTATTTTTTTATTAACCTACCTACTAGCCAATTAGATTTTTACGCCAAACATTCGTCATTTTATTTTTTCTTTCAAAAAATTATCTAAGGACATCCGGATTTTTGAAACAGATAAAACAATAACTTAACTGTCGAAATCCATCCAGCCATTCGGAAGGTATGAGGTAATAAAGAAATTTACAAATAAACATAGATACAGTCGGGTATCAAAAAAGGTATCTACTTTATGTAGTTCTTACTTTTTTTGGTAGATAGTAGACATTTAAACACTACAAAGAATGTCCAGAATTTAGTGGCATAATAACATATGCATATCTATGTATGTTTATAAAAATGATATCTTTTATCTACGTATATGTCTATTTGTATGTATGTATAAATTAGTTTATAATGTATGTAAATACATATGTTTAAGTATCGCTTAGATAATGAAATTTGTAAGTACAATTTATTTATGGTAACCCACTTTTTGTTAAACGTTATATCACCCATAGGTTGACTGGCAGCAAATGCTTTATACTGCAAATTCATAATTTAATTGAGTAACTTAAGAAACGATTTTAAAATTGTTAAATTATTTCTTAGGAATTGACTTTAAAGAAACGCCTGTTATATTTTTCACTTGTACTTGGTCGCAGTATTACTATTTTGTACAACTCAAGTATAAGAAACATGTCACTTATCTTAATAATACTAAGAGTTAGTTAATATCTTACTAAGAGTTATATTGAAAATTTTAACTATTCATATTTTTTCTCATTCTTTGGTATTATATAATATTTATGACGATGTTGTGGCCTACGTAACTATTATCTGCGCCGCATGAAATAGTGATCATTATACTTAGAAGGCTTTTGCTATTCGTATTTACTATAGGTAACAGATTAGTAAATTTTTCGCCAACTCTTATACATTTTTGTTTTTAATATTTACGCGTTCGATAACTTTTCGGGTTGTGTAATTTTGAGATCATCCTGAACAAATTTAGCAGGCAACTAGTTCTTATTATTTTTATACCTCATTTGATAAAACTTATATCTATTAAAATGATGGCTAAGTGAAGTTGGCCAGTCTACGCGTACCTACATATTCAATGAACGTATAAATGCAGCTTAAACGCTAAGCTTCAGACAGTTTGAAAATTTTATCTGTACTACTTAATAGGTCAAGAAAAATGTTTTAACTTAACAACAAAAAATTTACTACGTTTAATAAGTTCTTTAAGAAAAATTAAAATACTTTAAAAGCGATTCCTGAATTAATTTAGTAGTAAATAACTATAAACATATGTATAGTTAAGTATAACAATACTAAGCATTAAATTTATTTAATTCCAGTTATGATGCTCCCGACGGTTCTTCTAGAAACGAACAAGGAGCAATCCTCAACCCCGGTACAAAAGATGCAGCATTAGATGTAGCTGGAGCAGTGCGCTGGTACAATGACAAAGGTCATCTCTACGAAATGACTTATAAGGCCGGCAAGAGAGGCTACCGAACAAGCATTAAAAGAGTCTATTCATAAGTAGTGATGGAAAAGTATTTCAAGTATTAAATCGAATATTATTCGATAAAGAAAGACTGGACCAAATTATTTAATTTATTGCAATAAGGTTAATTTGTTTGACTATGTTACTAAAGGCAATGGAGTAGATTAAAGTTATTTAAATTATTATTTACAAAATGTAATAAATTGCGTAAAAAAGTGAAAACAAATATATTTGGCAGATATTTTTTTTTAATAGAACTGTTGATTAAACAATGGAGTTATGTAATTTAATAAATTATTTAATAAATTAAATTAAATTATTTATTTATAAATTTATTTAGTATTTTCCAAAGAGTATGCTGTACAAAGATGTACATTTATCCAAGAAGGATAATTTTTGAATCTTGTTTTAAATCGTATGCAAGACTTTTTAAATAATAAGTTACGCCATTTACATGACGTATAAAATTATTAAATATGTCGCTGTTTATATAAAACATTATTATTCTCACTAAGAAGTTTACAGTAACCATGCTATATATTAATAACATCAACGTTCTTGTCAAGGATATTTAGAGAAAAGTAAGATCATATTTATGTAACAGATTTTTTCCCTGGAATTTTTTTGAATAACAAACAGAGAATGTATTTTTTGAGATGGGAGAAAAGCATTGAACTCGCGACACTGTTACCGTTACGGACACCTCTGTACAAAAGTACCTACATATATTGGCCCCGTTTACACTAGAGTTGAGTTTTGTTTGAAATACATTGATAATAAAACGATATATAATATAAACATATATCGTGTATATACGTACAACATAGATATATTCATGTCGGAACTTTTCGAATTGAAATATTTTTTTTTTCTTTTTTGCGTTATAATCAAAAAAATGATTTTTTTTGAATTTTTCACTTCTGTCAGCACTCCCAGAGTGCCACTGTTTTTTTTATGGAATAGGGGGGTGAACGAGCAGATGGGTCACTCCGGTCGAGCCGGCACTTTTGCCCAGAAGCATGACTCTCCGACATATTTATTAGAGAATGTTATTATATGTAATGAATAATATCAATCATCCGATGTGACACTCGATACGTATCATAGATACTTATTTTTATATTTTTTATACATCTTTATTGTACACCGCTACAGTATATATTTTGTACAGACATGGATGAATACGTATATTTAGTATTGCAATAGGTGGTCTTATCGCTCACAGCAATCTCTTACAGACAACCATTACACGGATATTGTTAAATCTAATTTTGGGTAGTCGGGGGTGTACTTATATAATACTCTAAGTAATTATTAATACATAAACGTACTACATATGTTTACAGTATATATACTGCGAACACATATAAATACATCCACAAATATATATATACAGAGGTCTATAAATACACAGATCGTTTATTACCTATGACGTATTAAGTATCAAAGTATTAACAACAATTAATGTCCCTTTTCAATGTCAAGAAGAGTAATTTGTGGCTTCTTTTTAAGTTTTGCAAAGTTTAAGCTTGTCTGTAAGTAGACAAACTTAATCTTTGAAAAACTCAAGTAAGTTATTCCACAGCCTGACTGTTTGCACCGAGAACGATTTGCCTGTAAATTGTGTGGTATGCCTGGGCATTTTTAACTACAGATTTTCTGACGATCTCGAGAGCTTGCAATATGAATTGTGTAAGAACTCAAAACTCTTTTTAAAATAGGACGGCGAATGTCGGAGGAACAGAGAACTATATAAAATCTATAGAATATGAATTTCAGAGCTTTTAAGAACAACCTTATATTTGCACTTCGATTTTATGAGAGAATATCCTCTTCAACTATAATGCAGTTAATTTAAATCAAGTCTAGCTAACACATTTATTCCCAATCAACATTTTCAGCCATAGAAACCCTACTCACTGGTAACGTTTCAAAGGGCCATTTGCTAAAAAAACATGATATTTTCAAGCATAGCAAAAGCCATAAAGCTTTTGCCTTAAAATATAACATTCCGAAAAATAATTCAAACAGTACTAAAAACTTGTGTTTTCATTTGATACTGGTTTTACAGGTAAAATGTGTTTTCGTTTAAAGGTGGAAGAATGTGAGATGACACGAATTGCACATGTACCGTTGTATTAATAATGTACAGTACATGTACAGGTCAGTGCACTTAAACCGCTCAGTAGGATATGTATGAAATTAGTTGCAAAACGAAACACTTTATGCTTCTCCTTTAATTACAAAATCAGTTTAAAAAATTTAAGTTCTAAATAGTTACTATTATGACGGTTATAAAACGTTAACGAACCCAAATGCAATAATATACGTGTGTTGAAGACATTTTACATCTTATTGTTAAGACGTTCTTAATGTATATATTTCGACTTAATGCCGAACTAATGTTAAGGCAAATGTATACCAGCCACTTGACGTACTTTGTTTTACCAGACTTCGGTAATTTTATTAAGAAATTATTTTCTTATCAAAAACTTAATACGGATTCATGAAAATACTCTTTCTACAAGACGCGATTTTATGACTATCAAATGAATTTACAATCAAATTAGATATAAGACATTAAATGCACAACGTATGTAATGTATTTAATAAGATAAGTAATAATGATGTATTGTTTTAAATAGCTTCGCAAAAAAAAACATTTTTTGTAATATATAAATATTTAAATGATAAAAATGGTTACTGTAGGTTATCCTTAGGAGATAGACATATACCATCACGGTCTTTTTGTAGATATTTTTAAGATATAAAATTCAGTAGTACCTTATTTTAGTGTGTCTCGTAAGGTTTAGCCAGCGTTTGCAATGTAAGCGCACAAAAACATGTTTTTTACTACAAATCTTTCTCGGATTTTCTCTACTATAATCTGCATTTATCATACATATAAACCTTTCTCTTGAATTACGCTCTCTATTGTTAAAACCGCATTAAAATCCAATGCTTAGTTTAAAAGATCTTAGTGTACAACACAAAAAAGCGACTTTATTTTATACTATGTAAAGAAGTGTAAAAGTATGGCTAGATTTTAATTATCATAATAAGTTGATTGGAAGAAGAGGTTGGGTGACTCGGCAGTATCCTCAAGAAATTAGAATATCAGCATATTCCTCTTTCGTATAGGTCGACATTTTCAATAGTATCAGAAGCACAAATCAAATTCTAGTTTGCAATAATTAGTCACGATTGAAAAATCGAAACAGTCCAAAAATACTAACTAAGTTTTCAACTAGGTACATACTACCAGGTTGTACGCTAATTCTTAATACTCGCAGTCTTGCTACTAAGTTTATTTCTATGAATTCTGACTATTATAGACTATTATACCTTGTTAGATATCTGACGTTCTTTAAAAAATCTGCAACTTAATCTTCTTAAGCTTAATCTGTAAAAGAAAAGAAAAAATATTTGTTTTTCTCATTATAAACCATTAACTTAGTTTGTTAAGTTAACTACAAGTTTGGTAATGAAAATTATATTAAAATGTAACTACACAAAAACAGTAAAGAAAGAAAATAATAAAGGATATAAGTTCTAAAAAAATTGTATAATTCAAAATTTCGGCAACTTTTATAAAAATCTTGACAATCTTGAAAATGGTTAGGTTTAGGATATTTTATTTCTTAGTGAAATCTATCAGAAATTATAACAACTACAACCCCCTAAAGTATATATACTTTAAGGTAACCAGTAACCCTGTATATATTTATGTTTACAGGAATTAACGCGTTTATGATAGGTATTAAGTACATACCTTTGATTTGCCTGGGATTTGGGTAATCGAAATGGGTAAAATGTATGAGAAGAAAAACATTAAATGAGATGATGGTTTTACTATATGTATCACCGCTTATATTTTAATGATTTTTAGCTCGAGTTCGACTGCAAATAGATAGTTGCAGTTCCAAGTGAAATTACAATAATAAAATTGAAATTGAAAAAAACTGCTAACTCTTTCGATGTTAAATCCTGAAAGAAATACAATATCCCAAACGTATTTTAAGAATTTTAAAATAGGAAAACAATCAGTACGAGACAGTGCCGATGGGATCACATAAACTATTGCGGCATCTTAGTGTGTCAATTTGTACATTTCATCACAGAAATCGAGTTATCACCTCCGTTGTAAATAGAATAAAGCTCGAAAATTTGTCCGTTGCTGTAATGTTAACAAACAGACTACGTGGGTGTATTTAAGCCAACTGCTTGCAGTATTCGTATCATTCACTTTTCCCTAACATTTGGACATTAAACCTCAGCCGAAACCAACATGATTGCTCTGGTAAGTTGTTCTTTCTAGAACTGATACTTTTGCTATTAATCATAGGCATTTCTCACGTACAGATTAGTTCGCCTGTACCAGAGCCAAGTTGTGCATACTCGTTAAATTTGTACAAATTAACGAGTATATCGTCATCCATATAATTTTAACCACATACGTTTGTGGTTAAAATTGTATGGATGACAGTGTAGAGGCATACATTCTCAAATAACGATCGTTTTTACGTCAATTGGCAATACACTCAATCCCCTTATCAGTATTTGCATAACTATAAATGACTACTGAATTACATATACTGTATATCTTCAATAACTTCAAAGCTAAAAGACTTTTTCATACTTTTCAGAAACTTTTCATTTTCGCATTCGTGGCTACGGTCGTCATAGCTGATGTGAAACCTGTTGCTGAAATAATTACTGAGCATACAATTGTGAATCCTGATGGTTATAGCTTCGAGTAAGTGTTTAGAGTTTTTAGAGTTTATATCATTTCTACCCAAGAACAGAATGTTAGCAAATTAAATATCATTTTTGTATTTTTTTTGTGTAAAGATGGATAAATGTTGATAAAATGATAAACAACTTCTTAATCAAGTTAGCACTATAGAAGTCTCTCAAATTAAAATAAGGCTGTAACTGATCCCACAACTTTACTATGATCGTATTAGTACTACTACTTAGTGGTTTTGAATTCCACTATCCAAATATTTGCATCCTCTTGTGTGTTATTAGTAACTGTATATTTTTCACTCTCTCTAAGATGAAAACAAAATATACTTAAATATCTCATTTCAGATAATAACCTGAATTTGCAAAATCCTTATTTTGGATTCTTATTGCCGATTGCTATCCTTTTATATTTTTTACTATTATTTTTCTTAATTTCAGTTTCAAATCAAATGATGGTATTTCGCGCCAAGAAGAGGGAAAGTTGATCACAGTTAATGACAAAGTCGGTATCGCAATAAGCGGTACATATTCTTACCCTGGACCTGACGGTGAACAGTACGAGGTGACCTTCACCGCTGATGATAAAGGTTATAAACCCCAGATCCGAGTTCTACCCGCAGGTCAACGATAATTTATTAGATTTTTTTATTTTTTTAATGTTTTATACATCATGGTATTAAATTTTCGAGAATTTGAATGTATTTTAATTATATAACCATGTTTTGTTATTGTCTGCCCCTTAATCATACAGGCTCAAGAAAATTTAAGTCATTGCCCTCACGAGCTACTCCTCCAGGTCACTAATTAAGACTAGGCTTTAGCCAAGCTTAATACATGTATTTGTTGCCGCAAAATTATGTTATAATTCATAAATGTCAAGTAAAATTGTTTTTTTAACGATAGACGGCGTTTTCATGGAGACCTCATTGATTTGATCTTTATGTCAAAGGTATTTCATGAAGATTAAACTTCAGTAAAATATTATTTTTAAGTTTACTAAATACCGTTAAAACTAATTTACTAATAAAGAGATAAAATAAAAATACATAACAAATATTACAAGACTAGCGCTTTTATAAAGCTTCTAAAGCGCCTACAATATTTTCATGGCTGAGAATCCGCGTGTATTAGCATAACTTTAGTTGTAGGCAATAAAGTATCATTTTGTATTTATAAATTATTTTAACTTAAATATTTGGATATCGATTTGCAAGTGCAATGGTAGAATATTGTAAAAAATCATAAAATATGTACCCATCTTTGCAAGCGAACTAATTAATAAATGATAGAAAATTGATCTAGCGATGTATAAGTAACTAAGTATGATATCGAAACTCTTACAAAAATACGATAATATAACAACAATATGCAATTATATACATACTTTTTAAGGCGTTCGCTTTTTAAAATTAAAAAGGGAGACTGATTTGGCTCGACAGTTAACCATACGAGTATATGGACAAATTGATATGGCTTTTAAAGATATATAGCCGCTAGATCATTGGAAAGGCTCATTTTGGATGATTTGCTTACATTGCTGCTGCATTTGCTTTCCGATAATTAAACTATTAAGTAATATCAGCGGTTTTCGGATGATTTTTGGATTTGATAGTTACTAAATAGGGTCAAGTTCAGATTATAAAACTACCTTTCGATATAATTTGTAATATCTTTACAATTTAACAGTTTTGTGTTCACGTCGTGACATTATGTTTAGTTTGTTCGTGGCATCTTGGTTAGAACTGCTTAATTTAGCTAAATTTAGAACACCGGCAAAAGTATTTTAAGGAGAGACAACGACAAAGTTGACGCATTCCTTGTAGCAGCACTTACGTCGCGTTGCTTAATATAATTCTATTATTTGAGTTATGTTAATTATGTAATATTATTACTATAATTATAAGATTTCAGAACTTATAGAAATCGTTAAACATAGAAACCCTGAAAATTTTTTATGATTGAGGTAAGACTTTAATGTAAAAATAGGGGAGAGTATCCTATATTGAACCGGCGCTTAAAATGAACCACTTCTGTATTTCTATCAAAATCACAATTTTTTACACTAATACTCCGCCTTATGTAGCGCTCCTTTTTGTGCCAATATACTATACTAAATAGTGCCATTTTGGTTGAAATACAGAAGTGGTCCAATTTAAGCGGCGCGGCGGCGGTTCAATATTGGTTACTCTCCCCTATGTATTAAGCAGCGTCCACACTATGCCGGAGTATGCCGGGCGAGGCCGGGCGGGCTGACCCGGGCGGCCTAAGCCGGGCGGGTTCGTTCGGGCCGGCACGACGTCCACACCGAATACGAGGCCGCCCGGGTTATATCTACCTATTAGTTTCAATTCGACACCAAGACTGGACAACTAAAGCCGCCCGGTGCCGCTCGGCACGTCCCCACTACATATTTTTGTTCGGCTCGGGCCGGCATCCTTTGATCTGTACCTACTTTCTGCGGGTCGGGATCGGCTCGGCTCGGTCCGGCTTTTTAAGCCGCCCGGGGCGTCCACACCAACCCGGCTTAGGCCGCCCGGGTCAGCCCGCTCGGCCTCGCCCGGCATAGTGTGGACGCTGCTTTAGGTATGCTTCATATCCTCGTGCAATTAAGATGATTAAACTTGAACAATCCAAAGCTGATCTGATCTTTCCAAGGCAGATGAGACTATAAATATGATTTCCCTCTTTATGAATTAATGAGCTTGCTAATTAAGTAGGATACAAATGTTTAATGTTTACTAAATTTTTTTCAGAAATAAATGAGAAAACTACGTCTAAAATAACGAAATAGGGGTAAAATGCGAGAAAGGAAAAAGTTTTTTGAAATATGGAGAAATTGGCAATAAACTAGAATAATGTCAAAGATTTTTTTCCAATAAAACAAATATAATGAAGCACAGACTGAGGAATATAAAAATAATAGATGGTACATGCCCAGGGAATAATTGACTTAAAAAATGAATCTACATAATCTTTTAGAGCATTTTATGTCAGTTCTTATGTATAGTGTTTTACACGCAGATGATATAGTTTATTAAAAACTGACAATATTTGAAGCTAATAGTAACATTTTTCTTTTTTCAAATTGATTAAGACATCTTCTTAAATAAAATCGAATGTTAATTTTTTAATCTTCATGTTGTTTATTTCTTATTTTTTTATATGGCGCAATATAATAATATTATTATCTTTATTAATAATATTATTGTGTTTAACATCATGGTTATTTAACAATAAATACTAATATTTGGTGTTATACATCCAAAATTTACGGACCGAGCCTAAGTTGCGATGCATTAATAGCTCGAGAGACAATAGGTTGCTCTTTGTAGAGATTTGGAAGTGCGAGCACTGTAGATACTGTTAGACAAGGGTCTGAGATACGAATATCGTGTTGGAATACTAAATTAATAAAATAAAGCAGAATCATAAAAGAATAATATTCAGTAATCTGACATTTATCATGTAGATGTAAGTCCATCTATCAAATCAGAAGCGACAATAAACTCACTGTTGTAGTATTTTTAACTCAGTCTATTTGACTTTCTAAAATATTTTTGATGTTAATCCTGAGTAATGATTAAACCATAAAAGATGTTGTTATCGAAGTCAACATATTTTTTTTAATATTCTGTATTAGCATCTTATTTTATTTTATTTATCTTAATTTATTTATGTTTTGTCATATTTTTGGTTATAAACGTCACCATTTTTTCAAGCCAAAGATAGTTTTTCTTTAAATAATAAAAATGATTAATTATACTGTAGTAACAAAACTTACAAAAGACAAGGTGTAACGGAATCTCTCCGATTGTGGCAGACGATTCAGAACTTAACTGACAAGGATGGCGTGTGTAATTTGGTTGACATACTTCTTTAAATAAATTCCTTAGAAAAATAGATAATTTGATTTTTAATAAGGTTGACAATGCAATATACGCCTTTCCCATTCAGCTTCCTAGGTTATGACTGTACCTAACTGCTTTGATTGGCTAGGTGTTCCCACGTGGTAAAAAATATTATTTGTTTGTTGAAATAGCTCTAAATAATACTGTTTAGCACATAAACATTAATAATAATATTATTTATTTCTATTATGTCTGTGTATGGTGGAAACTATACGAAAATTCTAAAGAAATTAGTGTTCAAATATTTAACTACTGGTTCACGGGTTTATTTATCTGACCATATCTTTTTTATATCTATTTTCATGAAATGATAAGTGACTATCACCGCCCATGCACACCAACAAATCAAGAGTCACAAATGGGTAGCAGGCCTTTGAATACTCTCCAGAATTTCCTCTGGTATCCTCGTTGAAATGTACATGGCCGTGCTGAGCTCTCCCACGGTTTCTGGTATTTTAGTGATTGTATTTTGACAATGACTTGGCAAGGATTACTAGCTTGATGAGATAAAGGCCACAACCCTAAAGAGTGATAGAATGTCATAATCAATTCAGTAGTTTTGAAGTTCTTTGTAATATTAAGGTTTAAATGTTAAAATAAATCTTAAGTTAGTTAACACAAAATGACCACAGAAAGTTCATAGACACAGAAAACATTCCCACGGTTTTTGCCCCATGCCAAAAAAGGTTTCTACTAAGTGAATTCACAGAATATAAAGACGAAAAGAAGAATTTTTGTCTTGTTTTGATAAAAATACAATTTACCGAAATAATCGAATCAAGTTTAAATTACATTGAAATCTGTTTTAATATAATATATTTTACTTCTGTTTTAGTAAAACTAACGAAGGCAAATTGAGATTATTCATTTTAATATTTTAAGATGAATTTACATTCGAATTCATTTGTTTGTGCTTTGGTGCCCCCCCAAGAGTTTGGTAATTATAGAAGGGTATAATCATGCTCTAACTGGTGATGTTGTTATTTTTATATTTTGTCGAAAATATAGTGGTTACTACTGATGACTCATCCATGTACATGACAGTACAAGACCCCTTACAACTACAAACGGGTTTTAAAACGAGAGATCTCATTAGTACATTTAATTATCTTTTACAACTTCACAGAGGTTCTCACTCGTATTTAATAAATGGTAACACAGAAATATTAATAAAAAAAGTTTCCTTTATTCTTTAGTTCTTGTGGCAGTGTTAAGTAGATGTCAAATAGCATTTAAATTAAGATTAAAGAACCAAAATTTAATAATATATGATATAGATATTTGGTATTGCAGCAATACATAACTTTAATATGGCAGTGTTAGAAGTTCGCAGTATTGACCCTAAACAGCTGCGGGTTGGGCAGAATCATCTTTGTTTTCTGTTGGTTGATAGCCATTTTTGTCAGCGACGAAAGAGACAGAAATGTGTTGACCGTCAGGGGCAACGTACTTGTAACTGCCTTTTACTACAAGACCCTGTTGTTCAGTATCATTCTTATATTCACCCTGTTCTTGTCTGGACGTGCCGTCACTAGTTTCGTACCTGTAGGAAAATGAATAGTTGATTAAATGGACTATACGATAGGTTTCTTTTTTCAATATTCTCAAATTTGACCACACTTATTAAATTCAAAACCACATATTTATTTTATTCTGCTCTTTAAGTCAACCCTTGTTCCAATTGACATTCATTACTATTAACAAGCGATTACATAAAAGAGCAAAAAAAGTTTGATAATGTTATAAATTATTCCTGTAACGAAAACGATCATGTTGTCATGATTAAAATGCCCTTTTCTGAACAATGGATTAAGCGTGAACGTGTGCTCTTAACCTGTCTTTAAGTTAACGTAGTAGCAACAATAGAATATTTTAGTAGGGCTTGATAATTCCAAAAATAAACTTTCATTACGCAAGTCTTTATAAGGAAGTATTTTAATATATTTTTTTATTCATGGTTTTCAACCGTGTGCTTGAAAATAAGTTTTAATTATAAACGTAAGAAACGTCATGAAAAATGTGAATGTAAAGATAACAGCAAAATTTTTGTCACAAAAAAAAAACAAATCAGAACATAAAGTCACGATCAAAGCTGATATAGTTCTTGTTGAACCTTTCACAAGATTCACATTATTATATTAGTGAATGGTTCAACAATACACATATCACACATCAACAGCCTATAACAGTCCACTTCTTAACATAGGCCTCTCCTTAACATATATTTTTCTGTAAACTTTAACTTTTATTTGAAAAGTTAAATCAATAAAAATTCGTTTGTATATTATACTGATGAATATAGTTTATACTTTATGTGTCTATGCTATAAATATCATGGTATAACTATACTCACTCGAAATTGTACTTGTCAACATCAACATCCTCCACTTGTTTCACGATTTGCACAGCAGGCTGGGCGGGAGCGGCTTGTTCTTGAGCGCACACTATCGCCAAAGCGGCCAGAGCGAACAATGTCTGTGAAAGTTGTAATCATGTTGTAATTGAATGCAAAATTCCAGGTAATTGTTTATTCACTCCTGTAAAGCTCTGACGTCATTTAAATGGAATGAAATGTTTAGGTTTAATTGGCACAGAATTCATAATTTTTATAGTAACATTAGAGTGCACTTTTCAATGTAAGGTTTACTGAACTGTGTTCTCGCTAGAGTTTTTCATGAACAAAATATTTGTGCTCACTCACAATCTTCATCATTATGAAATATTTTGTTTAATGCAAGGAGTATGTTGATTGCTCGAAGAGTCCTCAACGTCTATACTCTGAAGGGTAAAGTTGAGCTATAAATATCTTTGTCAACGTATTGACAATACAATGTTTCGAAGTATCATTGACAAGCAAAGGTGTTAATCACAATCATGCAAACAGTTTATTTGAGGAGATCCAAAAACTGTTACGGGGATTTGTGAATTGTGTAAATTGTTTGCAATACTCGCGCGCGTTATGCGTCTTTGATTGTATTCTTGAATTTCATGGCATTATTCTTAACAACTTAAAATATATGTTTACTAAAAGCTATTTAATGGAACTAGGAATCTGTTTTAAAAAATTGTTTTATATCATTAACCAGTATAACAGTTATCCCTGTGTTACCGGATTATAAATACTGAGTGTCGCCATATATTTATCGCGTCGGTGTCGTAAGAGTCGACTAAGGGAGCAAACTACGCTGGACAACAGCACTGCAAACAGAAGGAAAACTTGAAACAAACCCCTTTTTTTTTTTTTAATAACGTGTGGAAATCCCCTCGGACCTTCACCCCTCCGGGGTTTGCGGCGGGGTGGTGTGTCGGACTCGGACCGACTAAAACCACACGGTGTGCCACTCTGCGCCTGTAACAGGAGGGATCCGGGAACAGCTGTTGTTTAGACATCCGGACCCCTCCTAGCGCCAGCCCGCTCCTGGTGCGGGCTCCGTCTCAATATATTTTCCTCTCTTTAGGCGACGTCCGGCACACGCGGACGCCGCCCCCTCGCGGCTGGCCAAACTAATGCGGGTGGAGGGGAAACCCACCCCGTCCACCCGCGGCCACACTCAGGGCGGCATGAGGCGGTGATAGGCGGGCCTCAGCCGCCCGGTTCGCCGGCGGCGGATCGGGTCCGAGTGGAGGTCGTCCTCCCGGGCCCTCTCCGCCGCCTCCTTCCGCAAGATTACTACCTCGCAGAAGGTTGCGACCGCGGTAAAACAACTGTCGCTACCGGCCATGGAGCGTACTACGGCCGGTAGCGAGAGATCCACTCCGATGACTGCAGTGAGGGCCCGGCGCTGCGTCGCCCATGCGGGGCAGACCGCCAGCGTGTGCTAGGCCGAGTCCTCACTGCAGTCGCAGTGGTGGCAGGCGGGACTCAGTTCCCTCCTAGCGACCGAGTGCAGGTACTTTCCGAAGCAACCGTGCCCGGAAAGCACCTGCGTCAGCCGGAAGGAAAGGGTCCCGTGCTGCCGCCCTGCCCACTCAGCGATGACCGGCTGGAGAGCCTCCACGGCGGCGAAGCCAGCGCGTGGAGTCTCCAGCCGGAACGACCAACGAGCCATCGTGGCTCGGCGAGCGGCTTCGCGCCACTCGCGCACATCCTCGGGCGGAGGGCGAAATCCGCTCTCCGCCCGGGAGTCAGCCACTCGCCGATAAACTTCGGCGAGCACTTCCGCCTCCAAATCCCACGGGGGAGTTCCGGCCAACGCGCATGCCACCTCCGTCGAAACGGTGCGGTAACCGCGTATGGCTCTGACCGCCATTACCCTCTGAGGGCGCCAGAGGCGTACCCTATTCTGGGCGGTCAGAGCCGCCGCCCACACCGGTGCACCGTACAGTGCCATTGACCGGACAACCCCCGTGTACAGCCGTCTTGTCGCGACGCTGGGTCCACCCATATTGGGCAAAAGTCGCCCTAGGGCAGACGCAGCGCCGACCAGCTTTGGAGCAAGCTGTCGGAAGTGCTCGTCGAAGAGCCACCTCCCGTCGAGGATCAGGCCCAGATGAAATATCTGGGCCTGATCCTCGACGGGAGGTGGCCCTCACAAACGAGCCCTTAAGGTTCACGGACTTGGTGGCCACCGCCGCTTTCGCCCTCTCCTGCACGGACACGGGAGCCTGGGGGGCATTTCCCCCCACCGGCTCCCGAACCTTGAGCAGGAGATCCGCGATCTCCTCCTCCGCTACGGCCTCGCCGTCTACTCGTACATTCCTGTACGACTCCGCGTTTGAGAACGCGGAGCCTGACGGCGTCGAGACCGAGGCCGGTTTGCGTGCCCTCCCTCGGCGGCTGCTTGCCACCTTTGGTGGCATCATCTCCTGGGACGTATCCGTTTCCTCGTCCCTGGAGCGTCCGCGTTTCCGGCTGTCGCTTCGCTCCGCCTCCATGGCCTCCGCGCCATCCGACGAAACGGCAGATCCGGAACGCAGCCGATCTGATGCTCTTCGGCTCCCAGAGACCAGCGTTAGACTGACTTCTGGGAGCCCCACCGAGATAGGCGTTCCCGACGCCACCTCACCCTCAGTGGACGACCCATCCACTCCACTGTTCCTCTTCTCCCTTGCACCCTTCGTTTCAGTGTCCGTTTTGCTTGCCTGTTTTTGTTTGTTTTCCGTTTGTGTCCGTTTCTTTGTATTTTTATTAGTATTCATATTCATAATAAATCCCACGAGTGGGGGAGAACTAAAGGTCCACCCGTGCAGAGATCCCCCATTACCCGGGCAAGCGTAAGTTTTTAACCCAACCGAGGGGTCCGCAGGTACCTCGGCTTGGAGTGCGCTCGAGACTGAACTTCCCATCAGCCATGCATCCCCTGGCCACGCACCAGAACACGGGATTCGGGGAATTTTTTAGAGAGGTTATCTTCCTCGCGGTCCGGGCGGTTAAGCCAAGACCCTCGCCCCCGATCAGAGCCGCGAGACTTAACCACAGCGCTCTTCTCGGGATTACGATATGCCGACGGTTGACAGGGAGACTACGTCCCCTGCCTGCTCGGTGGTAGTGTCAGTACACGCCGAGCCCGTCCTCCTTTCTCCACCGCTGTCAGCGGAGAAACTGTGGCCCCTATAGGGCCCCGCCATCCGGTTTTTTACCGAGGTTTCCTCCTCCATGCTTCGAAGAGCGAAGAGCCAGCAGGGCAACCGGCAGACACGCCCACCCTGCTGGACCAGGCCTTGCCCGAGAGCCGATGAACGGCTACCTCTTCTGCTAGAATATTAGCCGCTGGCGATAATCCTCTCCTCCAAGAGGACAAGGAGGAAACAGTACCATCGCCAGCGTTTCCAGGGTGCACCACGGGGAGGTTTTCTAGCCTAGCACCCCAAACCCTATACCAACCCGTCTTGACAGGGTGTTAAAGCAGGCCAAAACCTTCTTTCTAAGGCGAAGGACATATCCAGCAGTGAATTATAAAGTCTGGTGATGTGAACCAGTATTACTTGATCTACAGTCAACATATAGAATTGGGATTGGCCTGTTAGTCTAGTGGTTAGTGAGTCTGACTGCTAAGCCAGAGGTCGTTTATATTTAGAAATTTATAAGTATATTTATCAGCAGTCTGGTTACCATAGTACAGGCTCTGCCTAGTTTGGGACCAGACGGCCGTGTGTGAGATGTGTGAAAATATTTAAAAAAAAAATACCCTTGCTGCTTTTTGTATTGCTTGAAAATGATATATTTCTGCACTTCCTCAATTATAACATTCTTCTCTGTATCAATAAAAAATGTAATATGTTGAGAGAAGCATGGCTGATATAGATTTTAGTGGCCAGTAGGTAAGGCTTTCAAAAAAGTTGTTCGAACAAATGCTTTATTGATATGATAACCCGTACTTATTCTAATTTCTAATACATTATCATCATCATCTGCCTACCGTAGTCCACTGCCGTAGACATAGGCCTCTCCCATAACTTTTAACTATTCATCTTTAATCATCATCTTATATTTATTAACACAACAAGCTAGCTATCAGTAGGATAGGTCACGAAGAGTCACAGTGACGCCATTTATAGGTATTCTTTGCTAAAATGAATCTTATTTAGTACTATAATATATACATATATATGTATAAAACTAATGAGGCTTAATATTATATAAAAATATTAAACCTCAATATAATAATAATAATTACCTAACCTAAATATATAATAATTTTAGTAATATTTTCGGACGTTGACACAACGCCATCTAGTTTCAAACTTTTTTTTGTACTTACTTATAAACAAATATTTTCAGATCATACAAAAATTTGGTCCGACCTGGGCATCGAACCCGGTAGCTCAGCACAGCATTCACATACGCTACCACTGCACCACCGACGTATTTCGAAATAAAAGCTGCTGAATGTATCTTTAATGTATAACAGTTTACGTGAAGGGATAAAGATGTATGTACATAACACATCGATTATGTAATAGAAGGCTGCAATAACCCACACCGCGCAATGTGTCGTTGTAATTGTATTTTCAATAAAACGTCCTTAACTTGTCATAGGGTTGTCACTTCATTATTATTTAAATAACATGCTCATCTAGATTAATCGCAATATGCCTCAGACTATGTAATAATATTGGTAAAATAAATAAAGTAAACTTAAAGTTTCGTAAGAACATGTTCATTACAATTACGTCATCATACTAAATATCACTGTCCACGCTGGTCCACCCTACTGAAACTTTGTTACATTTATTCTATTTATCAAATAAAGTAAACATTTAATAATATTCATTATAGTACATCTATATTATATATTACTAACAATAGATAGTTACAATAGGTATATAGATAGTGTTATATAGTAGTATGTAGTTATATAATACATTAAGTGGCTTGAATTTGCTAAAATATCGTGTAAGTCGTAACGTACATTATATGTAGATGCGACAGTTAATTCATTTATTTACTATAATTTCTTGCTTTTACCACTTAACCAATCAGTACAGAAAAGGACAAATATCCGTCCTAGGCAAAAAATAATAATTTTCACTCGAGTGAAGCCGCTAATTAAAATTTTCAAAAATTCATAGAAAATATTGTAAATTTATATAAAACAATTAATGTCAAAAGAACATCAGATCTGATCAAACAGATTAAAAGGAAAATATTGCCTATAAAATGTCGTTTATCTTCTTAGAGGACGAAGCCACAATAAAAAATTAGAAGTTTACAGGGGGATCGAAGTGAAGTAAAGAAGTTTTGGACTAAGAACAATCATCAACAGCCTTTAA